GTCTTTGTGAATAGGTAAATAAAAGAAGTGGTAGCTACAACTAATTTAGAATCAATTGTAATCTCCTGAAGTAAGTGGTAGCTTCTCGTTCATTCCAGCAGCTTCAACAATCTTCCAGCTACTCTTGCTTAATTGATCTTTGATCTTCAACAGCCCCCCTCAAGGTCGAGAGTAGATTTCTTCTACTCCCATTTTAGACAAATGTGAATGGAAAACATCAAAATGTAGAGGTTTAGTGAAAATGTCAGCAGTTTGTAAACCAGTTCTTACATGTCTTGTAACGATGCTTCCTTCTTGTATTTTATCACGTACCAAATGACAATCCAACTCAATATGTTTAGTTCTTTCATGGAATACCGAATTGGCTGCAATGTGTAAGGCTACTTGATTATCATAAAACAATTTAGCTGGTTATGGATGTAAAATTTGTACATCATCAAGGATATATCTAAGCCAAGTTAATTCATAGCAAGTAGATGCCATTGTCCTGTATTCTGATTCAGCTGATGATCTAGAAATGGTGCTTTTCTTTTTGGACTTCTAGGATATCAGTTAGGAGCCAATGAAAATACAATATCCTGTTATTGATCTCCTAGAATCTGGANGTCTTTGTGAATAGGTAAATAAAAGCAAGTGAAATTTTTTGGTTTAGACTTGAATCCATTCTGATATAGCCTCAAATTACAATAAAGGTGGAGATTGTGAAGAAATTTGGGTTGCTGAAATACTTACAATGTCTCCTTACGGTTTCATATTGAACCCTAGCCTCTCTCTTATTTCGTCTACTTCATGTACTCTCTGTAATTTTCATCTTTTGGATGATTTGAATGTAGTTTCTTGAGTAGAACTTGAGGTGCTATTAATTGATAACAATGTTTCTCTCTGTGTGAGTGATTTGTATCCTGTTTATGGGATTTTGAGAGTTCAAGTGAGAGAGAGACTTGAACGCTTTGTGTTCTTTTCTAATTGATACATTTGTCTGTGATTATGGGGCTGTGCTAGTGGATTTGCTCGTAATCCTAACGGATGCTCAACTGGGGATTAAGAGTTAAAAGCAATCGTTGAACCTCCGGGGCCTCAAACTAAAAAATCTCTCTGTTCTTTTACTTTCTGGTTGAGTTTAGGCGTTTTTTATGTTAGTTAAGTCTTACTCTGGGGCCAACACCAACCCTAGTAATTGAAGACATCATCTCAACTTTTTTCATATTTTTGTGCCATCCAAATCAATGTCTATCAATGAATGTTTAGGTTTTATGGTTATTTTTTCATCAATGTATGCTTAGGGTTTATGGCTATTCTTTCATCAATGTATGCTGCTCTACGTTGTCAACATTTTGGAAAAATTGGTTAAATGTAGTTCAGATGTGCTCATTGGAAGGATAGTGTTGGAAATCATTTTGTAGTTATGGCGGACCTCTCTTAAAGAAAAATGACATAATCCAATTGTTATAACTCTAATGCCAAAATGGGGTGGATGTTGTGAATGCTGAAAAATGAAAAATGTCGTCTCACTAAAGAAAAATTAAATAATACGCTTGATTTTGATGATTATTTTTGTGGAGGTCTTATAATTATTATCATTGACGAGTGTGAACTAGGGCCTTTATTTTAATCAGGTTCATAATCTCAAAATAAAGACAAAATTCATTACCGACAGAGTGCATATATGAACACGAATTTAGAAATGGATTTTCAAAGGTCTTTTTTATTGAAGCACTAGTTATATATTAACGTACTACAACTTAATTATGTATTTCCCTTTATCGTTGCTCATCTTGTGGTTGTTTGTGCTTTCATGAGCTTGAACATGGACGTTGTAATTTACATTTAGTTAGAAATTTGAAATAGAGCTTGAGAGCTAGTGATAAGTGTAATTTTTTTACACTTATTCAGGACCTAAAATAACGATATTTGATAGTTCTTTTGACAAAACATATTTTAAATTGTTGTATTTTATATTTAATAGGTGAAACCCTATGGATAAAAAAAAGAATTGAAAGAAAGAAGCAAAAGGTGGCGAAAAATGGCAAAAGCTAAAGTACAAGGACTAACTTGTATTGTATGAAAGAATGGAGGACTTGGAAGCAATCGTTAATTTAATTGAGCATTGGATTTAATTGGGCCTCAACTTGAACTTAAAATTAGACCCAAAAATTTGGTGGTTATATATATCGTTATTTATTTATTTATTTATATGAACAGAACAGAAAAAAAAAATAGTTACGGCTGAAGCTCTTTGAGGCAGAGAGAAAAGCTGCTGCGTAATTAACTTTATATACACAAATTGGCATTGGCAGCAAAATAGAGGAAGCATAATTAAAATACATGCAAACAGAAACAATGCATAATTGATATATAAAATATATATATATATATATAGATACACGCAAAAAGAGGTAAAGATATCTGGCAGCAGCCGAAGAAAGAATTAAATCCAGATTTGTTCACGTTTGGTTAATTTCTGGTGATGTCGTTCCACTTTTGCGTGTTTAATTTCAATATTATGTTAGGCTAAATTTTTACATTGCTAAAGATATAGATGAACCCTTGTTTGAAATTTTTAGTATTAATTAATTATTTTGACGTTAATTTATTCGAATGCGTGGATGTTTATTATGGTTTAGTATGCTTTTAATTAATTGGTCATTACTTGAATTAGTAGTGAATTTTATTATAATCGAGAGAGATAATAGAATTGTTAGCACGTAATAATAAGTATTGTAAGGTTCGATAGAGGATAAAGATAT